TCTTTTCCCTTGCTTTCTGACGGTCTCAGAATTCTTCTCTTAATCTCACACACCCATCCTTTTTCTCACTCGCAACAAAACAGCTTTCGAATCAATCGCATTCCAGTATTTCTTAGCGACATTGTTCTCTTTTTCTTCCTGCAAGAGCAAACAACTTAGACAAACATGGCCAGCAACGACTACTACAACCAGCACGGCGGCGGCGGCTACCAGCAGAACTACGGTCCTGGCGGCGGATACCCCCAGCAACCCCAACCTGTAAGCTTTCTCTCTTCTCTCAATTCGCGAGCTCCGGAACAATCGCATCGCCACGCTTGGCCCAACATGCGCGCGCATCCATTCTGAAGACATGTCCGACTAACACCTTGATAGTCTTATGGCCCTCCCCAAGGAGGAGGCTACCCTCAGCAGGGCGGCTACTACCCCCAGGGCGGCCAGCCTCCCATGCAGTACCAGCAGCAGCCTCCCCAGCAGGCGCCCAGGAAGCAGGGCGGCGGCAACTGCCTGACGGCCTGTCTCGCGGCGCTGTGCTGTTGCTGCGTCATCGACGAGACGTGCGAGTGCTGCGCGGAATGGTAAGGACACTCTTTCATTGCGCGATCCCATCGAGAACGCCACGCTAACACTTCTGCCCAGTTGCGAATGCTGCTTCGATATTTGCTAAACGGTCTCGGCCTCTGGAAAAACGGCAACTTATCTGACATTCGTCGTGTGTCAAGACCACGGTCTGTGGTGTTGGGAAAGTGGGGTCCGCGAACGACACCGAGAAACACAACACACAAAAAACTGTAATGCTTGACGCTTTTCTTCGGTTGAGGGCGGCAGTGGGAGAGTCGGAGGCAGAGAGAGTCAAAGAGACCGGCGGAAGGATTTTTTCTGGGACACGAGCGAAAATGGAACGAACCGACGATTTCCCCACGGCTATCACGGCGCAAAGACCCCTGAAGAGGTGGACGACCTGCTAAAGAGATGGGATGGAAGGACGAATGATGGATGGGTGGTCGGGCGGAAAGGAACGGGACTTTTGGTTTTCATGATGGATTCAAAGCGGCCTTGACGCTTGTTCATTCTTATTCCCCCCCTTAGGCGTTTTTGGCGGCGCGTTCTATCGCTCCTTTGGATGAGGTTTTGCTGGGGCGCATTTTTGCGCAATAATGAATTTCATATACACTTTACCAAGCGATCCCTTCTTGTTTCGAACAAAAACAGTGCCTGGTGACGTTGAGGTCATCATGACTTGATAAATCAACAGACGCGCTGGCTTGGCCGCAATGCACCTTTGCGTCATTAGTCCGCTCTCGGCTTGGCGGTTCAACACCAAGACTTCGTTAGCGACGATCCGTCTTCAACATGTTTCACGAAACACACTTCAACAGTAAACATCATCTTGTTGCCACGTGTAATTTTATTTTCCACCGGTACCCTGAACCCTCTGCAACCTAAGAATGCAAATAGCTATAGGGGCTCAAAGCAAGACTATTCGCTGGCCGTCATAAAGACTTTTCTATCTGTTCTCATCAACCCATACTTAGTTATCAAGCTGGACGTAGTTCGCAGGGAACAAGCCCTGCTTGCCGCCGTAGGAACCGAACCACCAATCCTCATCGGGGAACTCGAGATCCGTGATCGTAGCGTTCTCGGGGAATGAAAGTTCTGAAAACACAGTTAGCATGACCCCACTCGGTAGCAGTGGGCGTGAAATCTTACCATTGTCTTCGGCAGCCTCGTAATCGAACTGGGCCGTGGCAGTCCGACCGTCACCGGCCGCCGGCGCCGGTTCCGGTTCGGGCTCCGCTTGAGCCGGGGCGGGGGGAGGCGCCGCACGCGCTGCTGGTGCCGGTTCGGCCTCGTCCTCGACGAGCTCCACATAGTTGCTAGGGAAAAGACCGCTCTCGCCGCGAGAGTTGGTGCCCATCCACCAGTCCTCGTCAACCATCTCAATGTTGGTGACGTACTCGCCCTCGACAAGCTCAAGCTCATTGTCCTCGGCCTTCTCGTAATCGTACTGAATCAATGCACGGTGACCGCCGCCTTGTGCTTGACCTGCAGCAACCTGCTCCTGGCCAAACTGCTGCTCGGCAACTGCTGCCGCCGCACCGCGGCCAGCGTTGTTGTCCTCGTGGAGCTCCTCCTCTCTTGGCAGCTCCTCCTCAATCTCCTGCGTAGGGATGGGCCTGGGAGGCTCTCGCTCGACAGGGGGCTCGAACTCGACCTCGTTTCCGCGAGAGACAGGTTGGGCAACGCGAATGGGCGAGTCCGGCTCGGCCTCCTCCTCCTCTTCCTCCTCGGGGGCGGGACGGGGAGGCATGCCAGGGAGCGCAAATCCACCAGCGGGCGGTCGGCTGCCTGCAGGAGGAGGAGGAGGTGCCTCCTCCTCTTCTTCCTCGGCATCATTGTGAGCGGCATAAGCTGCGGCGCCTCCAGCTGCACCGGCAACGGCTGCAGCTCCCACGGCAATAGGAGCAGTACCCTTGAAACGATCGCGAAGGGCACCAACACCACCGCTGGGGGAGGCAGGTGCCTCACGCTCCTGCTCGCCAGTGTTCTCTTGGCTAATCTTGCCACGGCTGTATTCGGCGGTCTGAACAGGAGCCCAGGACTTTCCGGAGTAGCCACTCTTCCACTCTCCGCTCTTCTGCACTCCAATGGGGGATGTGATAGGAGGCGACACAGGGTTCGAGATGGAGCCCGTCTTGCCCTTCTTCTCAGCCCACAGCTGGGCAGGCGTCTTGCCGCCTTGGTCAGCAAAGGTTCGGCTGGCAGCTCCAACGGGCGCAGCAGCCGGGACGGCAGGTGCGCCGAAGCCCATGCCTCCGGGCGTGGGAGCCTTCGTGCCAGTGAAAGTAGATCCACCAAACTTGTTAGCGACCTTTGGCTTGGGGAGAGATGTGAGTCGCTCCGACTGCGCGGGCTGGCTGAAAGCAGCACTGCGTTCGGCCAGGGACCTCGGACGCTCTTCATTAGCGGCAGGCTCCGGCTCGGAGGGCTTCTGCGCCTTAGCACGGATAGCCGCAATATCAACCTTGCCAACCGGCTCGTAGGCACCCTTCACAGGAGTCGGCCTGTCGTCGTTCTTTTCCTTGGCGGCAGCACGAATAGCAGCGATGTCCACCTTTCCGATTGGCTGGTATCCTCCTCTTACAACGTCGCCTCGATCTTCTTGAGAGTTGTTCCCATTGAAGCCAGAGGGTTCTTGGCGCTGCTTCGTGAGCTCTGCCATGTTCACCTTGGTGGGCTTGTATGCCGGCGCGACCTTCTCGAGCTGCGACCGGGTGACAGGGGGAGCGTCGGCGCCCCAGCCGTCTTCATCGACATTCGCGGGCTTGCGGTTTCGTGCGGCCACGATCGGGTTGACAGATCCAACCGATGATGTGGTGGGAGTGAATACGGGCTTAGAAGCAACTGGCGGTGGGGCTGGGGAAGCCGTGGAGCCGCCGGCTGAGTACTTGGCGCCGGAGGCATCGGCAATCTTGCGCATAACGCTCTCCGGCTCGAGGTCGCTGTCTGAACGAGCGGTGATCTGGACGTGATAGCCGTGGAGGATCTTGGAAACGGCTGCTGTGTGGGTGGTGAAGTAGCCCTTGGTCCGCTCGGGGACACCGCCTCCACACCAAGCAATCAGGGCATTCTTGGGAAGCCCAGAATTAGGGTCCTTGACCTTTACGAAAGCGAATTGGATGCGACCCTCGTTGAAGTCTTCGATGAGTTCTGAGAGCTCGCCATCTATCGCGGGGGAAAACGACGTGTCAGCGTGTGTCCCGCCATGTGACGTCGGCAGCTCGGGATGGGGACCAGGAACCTACCTCCAGTGCCCTGGACCTTAAGCACGCTCTCCTTGGCACCAGTATCTTGGAAGGCATTAGCCAGAGGAGCTTGAACCGAGAACAAAGCCCATTGAGCGTATGTCGGCGAGCTCGAGCTCGGAGGCGGGCCGTTGATGACACCCTGGTAGCTGCTCTTGATCGAGGGTCCGTTTATGGACAGGTTGAGTGACGCCATTGCGAGTGTTTGCTTGGAGCTTGACCAGCAGTGGGCGCGGGTTGATGAGGCGTCGATTCCTTGGTGAGATTGGGGGGAAAAGAGGGCAAAGAAAGGAAAAGGCGGAAGATGGCAGGTTGCAAAGATCTCCGTCGGAGAGTCGCCTATGTCTTACGGGCAAGAAAGCTGACGTAGCAAACCAACCGCCTGTATTGCAGTCGTGGGCAGCCGAGAGTTGGAGAGGCGCAGCACGGGTGGAACTAGAACTTGGAGGTGAAGCACGGTCCCACCGACTTCCAATACGCGGGCAGCGAGTTACGCAGTCGTTTGGCTTGCCAGGTGTCGGAGCGGGGCAGGAACATACCTAAGAGCGGTTAGGTAGCTGGTAGGGCAGCTTAGGTACGAATACAGATAGAGGGGTACAGTGGGCTCAGGTACGAACACAGCAAGCGGGAGGGGCACAGAGAACAGCGCATTTCGACTCATCAGAGAATGGATGCGCCCAAACACACGCAGAAGGGGGCCGGATGCCTTACAGTGAGATCACTGTGTTCCCACTTAGCTCAGCGCCCAATGAGCTGTCTGCCGTTCTCGCTCTTCCCCTCGAGCCTCCCATTCCCCTCTGGCGGGGCGAACCCGGGAGTGGTTTCGCTGAGTCAGACCTTCCATTTATGCAACTAGGCACCACAAGTATACGCCATAGACTAGTTTTCCTGATACAAGCAATTTTGCGCTCGCATAAGCTCTTTTCTGTCGCCATCGATCACGAATTGCCCCTCCAAATACCCCTCCACCGTATCGGAGACCCTGGGTTTATCAGCCGTTGGCTCGTCATTTCGTGATCCGGCACCCGACCGAACCTGTCCGCATTCCGGAATCTCTTCCTCACTTGTACAACCCCACGCGACCCATCCTGCGACTCCCTCTTCCGATTGCGCCTCCCCCGATACCCCCCGCGCATCCCCTCAGAGTCCTCACACCTACTACCGAAAAAAAGAGTTCGCGATACACGAAGACGCACAATGTCGACGATCACGGAGATCACCAGTCTCGCCGACTGGGAGAAGCACATCGCCTCCACACCGCCGTCCACCCTCCACATCATCTCCTTCCACGCCCCGTGGGCCGCCCCCTGCGCGCAGATGGCCACCGTCCTCTCGACCCTCGCCTCAGAATACCCCGTCACCAGCCCCCCAGAGACCTCCTGGGTCTCCATAAACGCCGAGGAGCTCAGCGAGATTAGCGAGACCTACAATGTCACTGCAGTGCCCTTCCTCGTCCTCCTGCGCAACGGCCAGGTCCTCGAGACCGTCAGCGGCAGCAGCGCCGTCAAGGTGCGCAATGCGATCGAGACACACGCCAAGAAGTCCGCCGGCGCCGGCGCGGTCACGGTGAACGGAAACCAGGGCGTCGAGAACGGGCCCAGCGCGATGCAGGTCGACGAGCCCGTGGACCCGGCCAAGGCCAAGGAGGAGCTGTTCAAGAGGCTGGCGGACCTCGTCAAGGCCGCGCCAGTCATGCTCTTCATGAAGGGCACACCTAGCTCGCCCCAGTGCGGCTTCTCCAGACAGCTTGTGGCCATCTTGAGAGAGCACTCCGTCAAGTACGGTTTCTTCAACATCCTGGCAGACGACGAGGTGCGGCAGGGGCTGAAGGAGTATGCGGACTGGCCGACCTACCCTCAGCTCTGGATCGACGGAGAGTTGGTTGGTGGTCTGGATATTGTAAGTGTAAATCAAGACCATTCGTTTCCACACGAACTGACGCCTTGCCATAGGTCAAGGAAGAAATCGCAAACAGCGATGACTTCTTGGGTCCTTACAGTATCAAGGGCAACGAGACTGCCGCTACTTCATAGACAGAATGTTGATGAGCAGACGAATGAAAAACGGTGTACCCCACGTACTAGCGGCTTTATCTGCGACTTCTAGTTACAGATATCCCCCCTCATGAGCATGTTGGAGGTCACTCACCACCCACCGCCGATGTCCTCCATGCAATTCGCCAATCAATGACAATTCAGATCGCAATCTCTAAGTCCGCAGTGCGCGTTCACGGTGGCATCAGTGGGAAGAGTGGGCAAGGTGGGAAGGCGAGCAGTGACAATGGGCCCCAGAAGAACAACGCAGTCGAGTGGGCGATATTCATGATGACGCATCTGTCGTTATGTAGGCATGACTTAGTCATGAATTTAATGAAATATTCTAGAAGCCATATTGGTAGGCCTCTGCAGTAGCTGATGTGATATTGTAATGTATAAACGCCGCAGGACTCACCATGGGTTTTGCTAGCTGGGCATCGTCAGTTGGCTTTCCGGGCAGTGTTCCCTATGACTTGGATCGTAGAAAGGCAGACGTTCATCTCCAAGCTCGCCGTGCATGCAGTACCTTGGTTGGTATATATGGGTAGTCGGTCAGTCAAGGAAGCAGGGCCCGGTATCTAGCAATAGCAGGTACGAGGGGCCGGAAGTCCAAGGCCGGATAGGGAATAGAAATCAAATGGATAATCGTCCAAAAAAAAAAACAGCAGGTATTATCAGTAAGTCAGCAGCTGAACCCCTTAGTGTTCTTTCCGTGCGAGCTCAAGTCATCGAGTTGGGCGAACACCAGCAGGAATAAGCCAATCTGGTCTGACAAGCATATCTAATGCCCCTTTCCTCCTTTTTAATACGTATTTGGCCAGAGGAACGGGGCCATGGTAGTTGTTTCTGCTTATCAAGAGACCTCAGTAGCGCATGCCGCTGCTGTCTTGTGGCTGAACAGCAGGATCTCTTGTTCAACCGGCAGGTGTTGAGCAACCCCTGAGACCTCTTTCTTCAACTTTCTGAACCTGTCAAGAATGTTTCTGAACCGGCAAAGTAAGAGATGTCCTCGACGATTGAGATCTTGCCAACTTGTCTCACTGTTGGTCTGCCAATGGCACCAGTGCCTGCCATGTTGGGACAGCCTCCTTTCTGTGGGAAACTGCTCATGTCTCCTGAAGGGACGAGAATACACATCAGTTCTCTCTGGAATCCATCGGACACAGGTGCTTAATCTCACCACCCTCATCACTTTTAGTTAACAACATCACAACAGGTCAGCAATCCCTGTACCTCTTTTTCTTTTTCTGGATATTGAAAGCAACATATCATGGCCCCAGTCTTCCCTTTCAGGTACACCACTTACGGTGCAGGCTTCAGCACTGCCCACGATCCCAGCTTCCCCATCAGCGACAGAACAGACGGACTACTGGCGTTTCTCACCCCGTTTCAACGCCTGAAGACCGAGCTCAACCGCAAAAACGCAGCCCAGATAGACGGACGTCCTTTCCTCGTCCAGTGGTTTCTACCCATTCCGAGATGGGGGAAGACGCTGAAGAAGACCGTCGAAGATGACATGAGGAGTCTTGTACATCCTGCACCGCTCCTCAATCTCTCACTTTATTCGGTATCCAGACGTACGATAGACCATCCCCAAAGCGATATCGTAATCGTCGCACAAGTTGTGACTGAGGAAGCCCGCCCGAACCATTCACAACTTCGCAGCCGGGTGTACCCCAAGATCCTAAGCCTTCTCTCGAGGTCAGTGCTGGAATCTCGTCATTTGCTGCTTTCTCCATCTGGATGGATTTCATACCAACCTCTTCCACAATTGCTCAAGAAGCAGACTCTAACCTCCCTTTTATTAGTCCCGAGGTCGGCAGACCTGAAATCGGATGTTACGTGGAGTACACCATCGACCCTCGTCGGTTGCTCAACCCGTTGGGGATTTTGCCCCCGAAGGAACCCGAAGAAGATCTGACGCGGACTCCTGACTTTTCCGGTTCGGGCTCATCATCATCGAGTAATTCGAGACCGTCGAGCCCCATCACCGCTCCTCTCGACTCTGATGGTCCGCAGCCTCCTGAGGATGAGGACGAAAAGGCAAAAGAAAAGGCGGATCCCGTTTCCGAGTTCTTCGACATTGATGCATATGATGCTTCGAATAGTCCAGGAGACTCGAGTGCCAAGAGCTAGACGGGAAACAGCTATGGTGTATGGAACCTTACAACCAATACGAGTGTACCTTTATGGCTTATCCAAGCGCTTGTTTTTCCAGCGGACGTGTTTCTTTTTGGTATAATGGGAGGCTCCAGCCTGAACGACCGACTCGAGGTGATGGACGCACGGAAAGGGGGGTCAACCCAAGAAGACAAACATTGACATAGAGAAGAATTGATTGAGGTGTACTGGCTAGAAGGCAAAAGGATACGAGACTTTAGGGTTATTGCCGAACCCCAAGCCTGTTCAACAGAGTTTCTCAAAACAAATACCAGTATGCGAATCTGGCCATCTGATTTATTTCCTTTTTCGATATGTTGTAGTTTGTGATATTCAAAAACCACTTGGCGCCAGCATCTTACAATTATGGACAAGGAAAACCCTTACGCTACCTTTTCGCTCTTGCCCCTCTTAACCATTATCATGTCATCATTCTTCTCTGTCCACCGTCTACAGCACGTTCGTGACCGCAAGAGCTGCAGCACCGCCAACGAGCGCAGCAAGATAGCTCTTCTGCGCCTGCCTGCTTCCGCCAGATGTAGTGAGGACCGAGGGAGGGGACGTGGCAAAGACGAGACCGGTCGTAGGTGCCGCGACTCCCTGGGCCTGGATATTGCTCGCGAGCACCATGGAAGTCATCAAGGAAGACGGCAGCGAGATGATCGCGCCGAGACGGGGAATGGTGGTAGGGTCAGCGGGGGTGTCCAGTTGCGGCACTGCGGTCGGCCTCGAGCCCGTGCCGGCAGACTGAGAGCTAGCAGGTGTGGACGCAACGGTGGATGACGGCGCGGTTGCCACAGGGGGTCTGCTTTCCGCGCTGCCTCCCGCGTCGGAGCCCTTCTCGCTGCCGTTCTTGTTGCCCTTCTCCTTGTCGCCGCTGCCGGTGCTAGGGGTCGGCGTTGCGGGTGCGACACTGGAGCTGGGAGTTGTCACCGCAGAGGGCACCGGGGGAGAAGATTGAACCGGGTTGAGAGGCGGCTTGACGGCGGTCGCGGCGGGGAGTTCCGAGGGCGTGGTAGCGGGAGGAGCGGCAGCAGGAGGTGCTGGAGCGCTCGTATCGGCCGGGGGAGCAGAAGGAATAGGGACCGGTGCGACAGCAGCAGGCTCGGTGGCGGGAATGGCTGGCAGTCCGGTAGCGCTCGTGTTCGACGGGATGAGAACCGGGGGCAGGGAGGCGGAAGCCGCAGCCGTCTCGGCGGGAGTGCTGACGTTAGCCGGAGGAACAAGCACCGCAGGCAAGGTGGCAGCGGGCACAGTCGTGTTAGCCGGAACAGCAACCTTGGATTCGGCGGGGGTAGAGACGGCAGGGACAGTCGTGTTTCCAGGGACGAGAACGGCCGGCTGGGTGGCAGATGCCTCGGCGGGAGTGCTGGAGTTCTTTGGCGGGATCAGAACCTGGGGAAGGGAGGCGGTGGGTGTCGCAGATGGCTTGATGGAGACACGGCTCTGTTCAGTCGCGGCAGGTGTTGTCGCAGGCGCGGTCTGGTTGTTTTTGATGGGAGCAGGCGAGGGAGCAGCAGCGCCGCCTCCAGCGGGATCAATAGTCGAGAAGATGGGTGAAGGCGCTGCGTCGGTGCCGTTACCGCCAGCCGCAGGTTGTCCTGCCGGGGCAGAAGTCGTCGGGGCCGCGGTTGCTTCGGCGCCATCGCTGTTTCTGTTGCCACCTCTGCCCTTTCCCTTGCCCTTGCGGCGACCGCCAGTCGCAGGAGTTGTCGTCGCGGGGGCGGTCTCTGCTGGGGCAGTAGCGTCGCCAGCAGCATTGGATTTGGCGGGAGCAGCAGGAATCGTACCGTTGGCAGGAGCAGCCTTCGCAGGAGCAGCTTCGACAACGAGTCCAGCAGGGGTGGCCTCGGGTGGCAAGTCACCAGAGTAAATCGTCTTCGGGGCGTTGGGCGGCTTGGTGAGAACCTGAACCTCGGCTCCGACGTAGGTCTGGACGATGGGCTGATCCGTAAGTTGGTTGATCTTGAACGACTGAGACATGACTGTAGCCTTGGCAGAATCGGTGATGACCATCATGAAGCTGTCAAAGGCCGCGATGGAGGCATCGGGTGCCCAGTACAACCGACCAACATTCTGGATTTGCTCTGTCACTCTTGTTAGTATACCACATCCCCAAGCTATCCGTCACGATGACCTTACCGCCGATCCTCTCCGCAACAACTGAACCATCCGTCACTCCGCTGGGTACCAGGTCGATGTTGATGGGTCCTTGCAAGCCTGCCGTCTCCCACTCAATCGCAAATTTCTCGCCAATGTTGAAATAATCTCCTGCCAGGGGCTTCGTGAACTGGGCGTCGGCGAAGGCAATGCTCGCCAGCAGAGCCAGAGACTTTGTGAAACGCATTTCGTCCAAATCTTTTGTTGATAGAAGAGTCGTGCTGGGGTCGGCTTAATCGTCAAAAGGTCCTCGAGAAGAAGAATTACGGGAGTAGAAAAAAACGGCCAACTAGGGCACGGGTATCGAGGTCGAATCGAAAACGAACGTAACGAAGGGATTGCTTAAGAAAAGCTGGCCTGCAGACGGGTTGACTAGAGAATCGAAAACATTAACCAACGACCACCAAAAAAAGGATCGTCAGTTAGAAAGAAAGGCGCACACAAGTAATGAGTGAGAAGCGAACAAGAATGGAGAAACCAGAAGAAAGGGAGGCAAAAGAGCCGTCCCAAGAGCCGCAAAACTCGGGCTGGTGGCTTTGATATGGATCTCCTCGCGTGTAAGTCAACGTTACCACCCCAGACAGGGGAGACCTGTGGCAGGACCCAGTGCGAACCACCCCTGGACGTCATCTCAAGGCTTCAAGCTTAGGAGAGAAAAGGCTCGGCAGGGGTGCTGG